AATATATGTCAGCCTCTATTGCAACTTCACAAGCTATATGGCTATGGACAATTTTGGAAGATATTGGAGAGAAGCAAGGAGAAGCCACAACATTGTTTTGTGACAACAAATCAGCTATTGCAATGGCAAAGAATCCATGTTTTCATAGTAGAACAAGGCACATTGTAATCAAGTATCACTTCATTCGAGATGCAATTGAAGATGGAGAAGTTGAACTAAACTATTGTAAGTCCGAAGAACATGTGGCACATATCTTCACAAATGGACTTCCGACATCAAAGTTTCAGTAACTAAGAGCTACACTTGGAGTTCAAGAAAAACACATTAAGGGGAGAATGTTGATGTGTAATGTGTTTTAAAAGTCAAAGAAATATTTCTTTATTTTGTCTAATCCAAGGACTGTAAAATACACAAGTGTAGGGTTGATCTTATGTATTGTAGTAGGTTTAAATTTCACATTTTATTATGTAAAAGTGATGCTATACAAAAGATAGAAGAAATCAGATTTGCAGTAGTTTCACAAGTTTTCTTCTTCTTCCCAGCACCTCTGTTATTTCCAGCACCCATGTTTTCCCCTGCATCACTCATTTTACTGTCTTTCTTCTTCCCTTCTTGCTGCTGGTACATTTCTGCTATTATCTCCACACATTGCAGGTCCACAAAGCTGTAAAAACAGCTAACAGAGGTATCACGAGGACAAACCTATCCAAATCAGCCCTTAGGACAATTACCGAATTGCACCCAAGTTGAAGAGGTGTCATTTTGAGAAACACGACTATATACTTTACCTATATAAGGAGTAAAAACTCGTAAGAATATTGAGGCCACGAGAAGGTGAGTGGCGCGCATTAAATATTGTCTTTTTCTTTAAAAAATAATTCATAACAGCTCCATCAATATCAAAAGTATTACGAATAAAGAGATCAGAAACAGAAATAGAAGAATTAATTCAAGAAATCGCATGCTAATTCTTTAGTTTCAACTGAACTAATTAATTTATTTGTCCTCCCAATGCAGTTTCTTCTTGTTCGTGGTGGTGCAGAAAATCAGGAAAACAAGCTTATTCAATGGAGTTCTCGATGGGCTCGTTGTCTTCTGATCTGGTATGAAACTTTACCTCAACTCCATTGATATTTATATAGTCAGAAATACGCACCTCCACAGGTCGGACAAATGAATGTTATTTACTTCCTTTATGGGGTTTGGCTACCGTAAGTTACGGTTACCTTTTCCGGTCAGCTCGTCGAATTTCGGATTTCTTAACAATAATGTCAGTGTCGAACTAATCCCATTCTTTGAGGTTACATGCCTTTTACCGACTAACCTTGCGGTGTTTTTTTCTAGATAACGAAATGGAAACCAAATCTTACTCTTTAATTCAGTATTTTATGCTACATTATAGCTGCATGATTAATTTTACAGGGAGTGGAACATTCAAGTTTGGAGGATCAATATGATTTCATGGACTTCTTTGAAGAAGATTTGGCCGCTCTTCTTGGAGAGGACTCACTCGACGTTTTGTTCCCAGAAAGTAATTTTTCTTCTTCATTTGTTATTTCCAGAAGCAGCTCGACCCACAATTTACGCCCTACCTCATGCATAGTGCCAAATGAAATGGCCATCGAACCACCATCCAAACAGAGAAAGCTTAACAATCATAACTCTTCCATGCCTAATTTTGACCCCACTTCTTTCACTCCGATTATTCTCAATTTTAGCAATGTGATTTCTCCTCAAAATCCTCATCAAGTGTATCTAAGGTCTTCAAATCAAGAAGAAAAGACAGCAGTTTCTGAAGATATAAGAAATCCAGTAGAGGTTACAAAAACCGTGCAAAAAACTAAGAAAACTAGTCGTGTTTGGCCGCCGTCTCAGACGAATGATCATATAATAGCAGAAAGAAAGCGGCGTGAGCTTCTCAGCAGGCTATTTGCTGCTCTTGCAGCCATAGTTCCTGGCCTCAAGAAGGTACAAGGTTTTTCATTAACCCTTTTTTTAACTATTTCTATCTTGTTAGTTCCTATAATTATTGATTTGTTTTAGCTATTGCGGTTACTCAAAACAATTTATCTGTCTTTAGCACTTGTACTCATATAATGCAACATAGCACAAACAAATACCCTTGATTTGAACATGCTTACAGAAAAGCTAAAATCTTATTGTCTGTTAATAAATTATATGTGCTGCCAAGGTTACGACATGGGAATTATTGATTATATTCTTATTTTTTCGAAACATACAATGGTATACGGTCTTTGCCGTTCATTTTTGAGGTAGCCTAGCTAGGTATTTATTAAGGGGTAAGGCTCTTGCCTAGACCATAGAGCATGATTGGCTGTGGAAGTTATTTTGTGAAGAGATAAATTGGGATTTACTTTGAAAAAAATATATATATTTAGTTAGTACAAAACTGACTTTTGCAAATCACTAATTAGATTTGAAATAAGAAATTGTCTTTCTCAATTCTTTGAGATATATATTATTATCATTGTAGATGAATAAAACTTCTATACTTGGAGATGCTATCAAGTACTTGAAACACCTTCAAGAGCGCGTGAATGCTCTCGAGGAACAAGTAAAGAAACAACACCTAGAATCTGTGGATCTCGTCAAGAGATCGCAACTTTTAGTTGAAGATGAGGGATCTTACGAGAAGAACAGCTCCCACGAGCAGCCATTGCCGGAAATAGAAGCTAGAGTGTGCAACAACCACATTCATCTCAGGATCCACATTAAGAAGCACAAAGGTTTTCTTTCGAGATTACTAAGTGAAGTAGAAATGCTCGAACTCAATATAGTCAGTACTAATGTCACACCATTCGGAAGTTTTGCCCTTGACATTACCATTATTGCAGAGGTAATTAATCTTTAAGATGATGACTTTTGGCATTGTTTTACTCATATCTTTAACTAATTTATATTGCACCCGTGATTCTACAGATAGATAAAGAATCGAAGCTGTCTCTGAAAGAAATTGTACGAACTCTTGGTTCAGCCCTTCGGCATACACCATAGCAAGTGCAAAGTATTCACAATAAGGATCTAGCCCCTCATTTCACCTATGTACCCAAATTGTCTGTATATTCTTATTTTCAATATATAAGTGATTATGATTAGAACATATTTGAGGTATTATTAATGGATGGAGAAAAGAAAATAAATAGATATAATTAATGATCGATCGATTATATATGACTATTCCTATATTCGTTTAGATCGTGCATCAATTATATATAATGAATTGCACTTTGCAAACATTATTCAATAATTCACTAATAATGAGTTTTCCTTGCAGATATGCTTTACAAAATAATGTCACAGATTTGAACCTTCCATGAAAAAGAAACAAATAAATAATATGATGCAAAGAAATTCTCTAAGCCGTTTTTACAAAATGGTTGGAATTCTTCCATGAACAATGCTACATGTATAACACATGAATTACAACACTGGATTACAACCTCTCACAAGGGATGTGGGTCCTGCGTTTAAAATAATAGTGGGCTCCACCTCCCTTGTGAGAGGCTGTAACCCAATGTTATAACCCAACATTGTACAATGAGCATTATTCTTCTTCCATATGGATGAATACTGACAATCTATTAAAAGTTGAGGCACGTGACACAGTTGTCTAAGATAAAAAGACTGGAGATGAAAGTGCAAATTACTTTAATGGGGCACCATTGTATAAAATCTAATTCCTATTTCTTACCATCTTTTCAATTTCTCCTTTTCCAGAGTACTTTTGTATTCACATACAAGCTTTTTCTTGTAAGAATGGTCCACAAGAAAGTATGGATGGAAAGCATGATATTGTAACAACGTTGTATAGATGATTATTCATTTACTAAAAGTAGTTAGCACGTGGTCTAAAATGACCATCAATCAGAAACCACAAAATTTGATAAATAAATCTCCAATGGACAAATTATTGTGCGCGATGGACAGAGTGAATTTTTTTCTATCACTGAATTCCTTTTGACAACGATATCAGCAATAGATTCCACTATTATTGCAAGTGGTCTATACGCCACAACAGTACAATCACATGTAGCGCTTAATTGTTTGTTGTGCATTATCATATTTTTTACTGATGACACTTTGTCCACATTTCATTGGAAGTTGGTGTAAGTGTTATGCCCTAGGTCCAATCAACTTTGGACATAAACACTTTAAATATATATAATTGATGCATGTATGGCAATATCTATTATTTAATTGAATTAATATTCTAATAAATTAAATAATAGAATCCGTAGATTCAAGTCTTGGTGATTTGTTAATCACAAGGAGTTGTGATTGTGAGATACAAATTACATATGACTGAATCTTAAATCGTCCGTGGTCGAGGTAATAACGAGATGCGGATATTGTTATTACGGATAGACTATCGCGTGTGGCATTCTTACTTGTGAAGTAAGTAGCTGATCTCACAAGTTAGAGTGTGGTGACACTTGAATGAACACGTGGATGTTTTGTTATAGAACAAAACATTGGAGACCCATTGAGAGATTCCACATGGATAACTATCTAAGTGTTATTAGTTAATCTCTAACGTTCGGTAGTGGAATTGGTCCTTTGACTTGAGGTCATCATAATACCTTATATGAAAACAGACATACTTTGGTGGTGTTGGATGTTGCTCTATCAAGGGTCGCTAATACAGCATTGTTCGGGTATGTCAAGAATCATATGAAGGTTGTGAATGATCAATAGAGGATTCGTCACTCTTATATAGTAAGAGATTATGATCCACATTTTATCCAGTTA